GTGCGTGTGTGCCCAAGATCCCGAGAGGAGAATGGAGGAGAAGGGATTGCAGCATGGCCATACCCCCTGGGGGGTGATTTCTTGCTTTCTGTCTCTGTCTCTGTCTCTGTCTGGCGAGCACACACGCTCCATAGCAAAAAACCTCTCCAAAAGAAAAAAAAGAAAGAATTATTTATTTAATTTGATTTATTCATTCATTTACTTTTTTAATTTGACCAGAAAGAGATACAGAGAAAGAGAGAGAGGGAAAGTTAGAAAGGAAGCCACCAGGTCCAGGACTCGAATGGCGGTCGGCCATGTGGGAGTGTCCAGCACCTTAACCACCACGCCACCTGCTGCTCGATTTTAATGTTGCCTAGTGTTCAGCTGCTATTAGCATTGAATCTGAGTTATGTGCGAGAATAATTATATGCTTGACATATCACAACATGTACTGTTTTGATTAAGGGTAGTTGTATGAAAAAGAATATAGAACATTTTTCATTCATTGAAGTAGTTTTCATTGAGCATTGCATGTCATCATTTTGAGCAAAGCATGTCACCTTTTGACAGTTCTTGAGGTTGCATCAGTGGTTCACAGGAAACCAAGAGAGGGGAAAATAGGCCCGAACTTGTAATTGTAGGCTTTTACACTCCCCACCAAGCATGTCAGCTTACTTCAGTGATTTCCGCCCCAGACAGCTTCCACTCAGATGCTACTACTGCCTCGTGTCCCTTTTGTGTCTTTTATTTATACTGTTTGATTAATTTCCTTTTGCCCTTATTAGACTAAAAGCTTTTGGAGGATAGAAGCTGCATCTAAAAGATTTTTGTAGGTGCCTTGTACATAATACAAACTGTTAAGTGAGTGAATACATTGTTTTGTTTTTTGAGTTTTGCTATTGGGTGTGTATGTTCACCAGAGAGAGATAGAGAGAGCCAGTGAGAATGCACCTCTCTCGGGGGAGGTAGCCATGGTACAATCCTTCTCTTTCACTCTCCTCTCGGGATTTTTTTGGGCATGCACACACATGTGTTCAATGTGTTTTTCAAGCTGCTCAGTACAGGATTCAAACTCCAGAGTAGGTCATGTGGGATACAGAGCCTTTACTGTGTCACTGGCTGGCCCAAATGAATGCTTTTATTTATTTTTTTTATTTTTAATTTTTGGGGGGAGAGGTTTTGTTATAGGGTGCGTTCGCTTGCCAGAAAGACAGAGAGAGACAGAGAGACAGAAAGTGAGAAATCACCCCCCCCCCAGGGGAGATGACCATGCCACAGTCCCTTCTCCTCCATCCTCTTCTCGGGATCTTGGGCACGCACACACACATGCCTGGTGTGAGTTTAAGCTACTGGGTATAGGACTCGAACTGCGGTCAACTACATGGGAGTCCAGCAATATAGCCATTATGCCAACTGCTGGTCCCCCAAATGAATGCTTTTTAAAACTTATGTTTGGGGTTGGCAAGCCATTGACGTGGTGATTAGGGTGCTGATTTCCATATCGCCGCCTCTCTGGTTCAAGTCCTAGACCCAGCAGCTTGAAAACCGTTGGGCTTGTGTGTGGATGTGTCCAAAACCCCAAATGAGACTGGAGGAGAAGGGACTGTAGCATGGCCATCGCCCCTTGGGGGGTGATTTCTCACCTTTCCTTTCTTGCTATGTTTCTCTAGCCATCACATGCACCCTATAGCAAAAATCTACTAAAAGAAAGAAGAAAAACCTTAATGTTTGACAAGTCCAATACTTGAGATTTCAAGTATTAGAACTCTAGAGAATAGAGAAGACGTTTTAAAAATTCTTATCTCTTTTTCTTAAGTTTACTGATGTATTTCTTCTGAGGGAGAGAGACAGAGGGAAATAGGCACCCCAACAGGATCCTAACAGAGCAATTTAGCCCTAGTCTTCTCAGCCAGATCACAGGCCTGTGTATACACCTGATATACACAGGGAGGTCTCAAGATGTGAACCCAGGACCCATTGGGTTCCTCCCACATGGACCCATTTGTGGACCTGCCGTACCCCCACTTTACCTGTTTTTTATTTATTTTCTTTGATTTACTTTTTAGGTTTTTGCCATAGGGTACACACCCTTACCAGAGAGAGACAGAGGGAAAGTGAGAAATCACCTCCAGAGGGATGGCCATGCCACAGTCCCTTCTCCTTCATTCTCCTCTTAGGATTTTGGACACATACTTGCCCAGTATTTTTTTTTTTTTTTTAAGAGAAACTTTTGCTATAGGGCACATGTGCTTGCTAGAGAGGAGACGGAGACAGAGAGATGAAAGTGACAAATCACCCCCAGGAGGGATGGCCACGCTGCAATCTGTTCTCCGCTCTCCTCTCAGGATTTTGGGCACACATGCATATGTGCCTGGCATGATTTTCAAGCCTCTGGATCCAGAACTTGAATCATGGTGGAACATATGGGAGTCCAGCAACATAGCCATTATGCCATCTGCTCGTTCCCCCAATGTGATCTTTTTTTTTTAAGAATTACTTATTTTACTTTATTTATTGTTATTTATTACTTTTTAAATTAGCTATATATGTGCTCACCAGAAAGAGAGAGAAGCAGAGAGAAAAAGAGAAGGAAAATGAGAAAGCAAGACACCAAGTCCAGGATCTGAACCACAGTCAGCCATGTGGGAGTCCAGTTACCTTAACCACGATGCCACCTGCTGGCCCCCATCCCACAGTGTGATTCTTAAGCCACCAGGTCCAGAAGGACTTTAATGTGGTTGGCCATGTGGTAATCCAGTGCCTTAACCATCATTCTACCTGCTAGCCCTTTTTAATTTTTTTTAAAGAATTAGCTCATTTAATTTTTATTTATTATTATTATTTTAATTTGACCAGCAAAAGAGAGGGAAAGAAAGAAAGCAAGCCACCAGGTCTGAGACTCTAACCATGGTCAGCCCTGTGAAATCAAGCACCTTGGGACCAACCAGCAGTTGGCCTAATGGCTATGTAGTCGACTGCAGTTCGAGTCCCTGACCCAGTGGCTTAAACTCATGCCAGGGGTGTGTGTGTGCGTGCCTAAGACCCTGAGAAGAGAAGGGATTGGTGTGTGTTGCGCCCCCCCCCCCCCCCCCCCAGGGAGGTGATTTCTTGCTTTCTGTCTCTCTGTCTGTCTCTTTCTGGCGAGCACATGTTCCCTATTAGCATAAACCCCTCCCCAAAAAAAGGAGATTGGAGAATCGAATCAAGCACCTTAACCACCACACCACCTGCTCACCCTTTTTTTTTCTTTTTTAAAGAAAAGAGGATTCCAGATAAGAAAACGAAGTTTGGGAAATTGGGGAGAGTATGGGATCAAGTTTCTATCCAAGTTTCACTTAAGAAAAGTTTGTTTTAAACTATTAACATACTCAGTTTTCAATGGCAAAAAAAAAAATCTTTTGGTTTTAAAAGCAAATGGCTTATCTAAACTAAGTTCTTTTGTGGTTTCCATTTAGAATACAATGACTTGAAGACTGAACTTAAAGACTATCTCAAGAGATTTGCTGATGAAGGCACGGTATGTGGAGTTAAAGCATTTTAATTATAGCCACGTAAGTTTTAAAGCATTTGTTTAGTTCCTGTAATGATTATAAAACAAATGGGTGACTTAAATTTAAGAGGTATTTTAGAGTTAAATGCAGAGACTAACTCTAGGGGTATTGGCAAGGTGAGGAAAGTTAGTAAGGGGTGATACAACCCCAAGAGATGGATGTGGTAGGAGTCCCCACATAATGAGGGGCATGGACAGTCACACAGGACCTGGAGAGGCTAGCTGGAGTTTAGGAGAAGGCCATTAGGAGAATCAAGCTTCTTTTCTTTTCTTTTCTTTTCTTTCTTTTTTTTATTTTTTATTTTTTTATTTTTATAGAGTGTTTTGCCAGAACTCGAACCATGGTCAGTCATGTATGAATCCAGCAATGTAACCACTATGCCATTTGCTGGCCCAGGAAGGAATCATTTTCTAATTCTGCTGATTTTTATTTTTATATTTGGAGAGGTTTTTGCTATAGGCCGCGTGTGCTCGCCAGAGAGACAGAGAGAGACAGAGAGACAGAAAGCAAGAAATCACCCCCTAGGGGGATGGCCACACCACAACCCCTTCTCCTCCATTCTCCTCTTGGGATCTTGGGTACGCACACACATGTGCCCCGCATGAGTTTTAAGCCATCGGGTCCGGGACTCAAACCGTGGTCGACTACATGGGAATTCAGCGACATAGCCATTATGCCAACTGCTGGTCCCAAAGTGTTTTGCTTTGAGACTTTTGCTTTCTTCTATATCAACAGTGGAGGATGTTAAAAAAAGGGGGGGGAGGAGACAAAAAACTTATCCCTTTTCAAGATCCCAAATTAAGAGGTTTGCTGTGTAAACAGAAACAGCTGGGAAAATAAACAATTTTTAGTAAATCCATTTTATGCACTAAAAATGCAAAGCTTATGGGGCTAGCAGGTGGCATGGTGGTTAAGGCACTAAACTTCCACATGGCTGACTGCAGTTCAAGTCCTAGACCTGGTAGCTTGAAAATTGTGCCCAAAATCCTGAGAGGAAAATGGAGAAGGGATGATAGCATGGCCATCCCCGCTACATCCCCCTCTCTGCCTCTCTCTTATGCATGCCCAAGATCCCAAGAGGAGAAGGGATTTCTAGCTTTCTATCTCCCTGTCTCTCTCTCCTTTCTGGCAAGCGCATGCGCCCTATAGCAAAAATGTCTCAAAAAAACAAAACAAAACAAAAAAAACCACTTTATTTTCTGTGGGCGTGTCAGCGGGTCAGAAAGACAGCCACTGCAGCAGGGCAAGAGCCATGCTCTGAATAGACCTGGTCTTGGCGGGCGCTGCTCTGCCGCTCTTCATTTCAGCTGACATAACTCACGTGGGCTGGGCCGTGGCTTACATCGGGGCTCCTCTGATCCTAAGTGCGCCTGTTGGATAGGTGCTGCTTCCATCTTGTTTTATATGAGGGAACTGAGGCAGGTGATAGGACCGAAGCTTTGAACTGTTTTGCTGTGCTGCCTAGCGTGCATCTCTATGCAGGTCTGCCTCTGTGAGCCTGGATGGTCTCTTCCTATAAAATGGAGAGTATAATTAATTGCATATACACACATACACACACACACACATATAAAAGATGATTTTTGTGTGTATATGTATATACATATGTTTAATGACAGAAGGCCTATGCGTGTGCCCTAGAGAAAAAAAAAAGATCCTAGGCACATGCACAACACAGGCTTGGTGTATTTTTCCATTTGCTGGAGCCAGGACTTGAACTCTGGTCAGCCATGTGGGATCCGGCTTACTCTGTGTAGCATTTAACTGCTGTGCTACAGGGAAGGCCCTAAACTCATTCTGATCAGCAAAATGATCTGACTTATTTGGGGAGCTTATGACCTTTTATTGGTGTCTGTAAAGAAATCCCCTTTCCTAACCTTTGCTTTTCATCAACAGGTGGTTAAGAGAGAGGACATTCAGCAGTTCTTTGAAGAATTTCAGTCTAAAAAGAGAAGGAGAGTGGATGGGATGCAGTATTACTGCAGCTAGAGTGGAGTGTGAAGCTTTCTCATGCAGGCCAGCGGAAATACCACTTACTGTTCCAGGAATAAAAGAGGCCTGTTTCACAGTCGGTCCCTTTCCGTCCTCCGTCCTCTCTTTGAAGAGGCCTCCTCCGGCCTGAGCTGGCCTGAGCTCCCTCAGTTCTCCTTAACTACAGTAGCCACAGTGTTTATGCTGATTTCACAACCAGCATTCTTCTTATGACTCAGCTAAATGCAACTCACTCCACAGACTTCAGCTCCCTTTCTCCCAAATACCCAGGGTTATTTGCTTCTAAGTTTTAAGAAGTTTGATTTGGTTTTGAGAAAGCAAATTGGTTCCTTTTTTAACAATTTGTTCTTTAACTCCCAACTGTGTGTACTTTGCCACAGAGCTGTTGCCTTCCAGGACCTCTGTGTGGGCATCACAGAAGGTTCACTTCCGGTCAGCTGGACCCTCTGTAGGCCACCCCACCCCTACAGTCGTGGTGTCTTGGGTCAACGCTTCCTCAAGCCCAGTCTGCTCTTTCTTCCTCATCCCTGCTCTCTGAGGTTTGGTCATGGCTTAGAAGGGATGGTGGAACTTCTTTTCTCTGGGCCAAACCTCTCGAGTAACCAGAACTGATGATTTTCTGGCCTGGATGTCTGTCATTGTCAGGGAGATTGGCCGATGACAGGGTTGAGGAAGCAAACTTTGCTACAAATTTTACTAATAAAGTTAAAGTGACATTTCCCTTCGTGACTCGCCCGGCACTTGGATATCAGAATGTCAGTGCTGCGGTGCTCATCGGGCTTCCTGGAGGCTTGCCGGTACACTAGCCCCTCTTCTGCTGCCTCAAATATATTAACAGACCGGGTATCACCCCTGTGAAATCTTGGTGGTTTACAAAGTCCTCTGGATTTCTTTATATTATCAGGGATATTCATAAGCATATATTAAAAATGGACCTATTTTGATATTGTTCTGTTATAAAAATGTTATCAAAACCCCAATAAATTATGATTTTCCCCCTTGGATCTTTGCTGAGAAGAAAAAGACACTGACAGTGGCAGGGCAGTGACTATCCTGCTGTGGAAGTGATTCCCAACAAGACCTCGGCGGGTGGTGCGGGTGAGTTTTCTGTACATAGACGTTAATCCCCGCAGCTGGTTTCCCGTGACAGTGAGATCTGAGGTCCTTTCGGAACGCTGTGTGAAACCCTGTGTTTGAGAGGAAGTCTTTTCAGTTAGTATGAAATCTCTTTAAACCCCTCAATCTAGGTGAAAACCATAATTACGAGCTCTTGGGTGCTCTCTCTGAAGGAACAGGGTCTTTCCTGTCAACAGATGACACACTTGGAAGTATGTCACCAAACGCACATGAGGCCCAGGTGCCGCCTGTGTACGTTACTGTTACTTCCCTGTCTAGCAGTCGTGTGTGAGTGCCCATCACTCCCTGGACAAGATGAACCAGGCCTGCACAAGGTCCAGGTCTCAAAGAAATGGTACAACCCATGGTGTTTGGTAGTCTGATCACAGACCCTCGGGAAGAGTGATGCGTGGGGCCAGAACGTCTCATGGTGGCAGAAGGTGCTGGGAACCCTGTGAAGGGGGCTCAGTTACAAAGCTTAGGGGTTCAGGGATTGTTTATAGCTCATAGTTTGGGAACTCTTCTGGGTCTGAGGTGGCCGAACCCCTTTGGCAAGGTTGCACTATTGGTGGACCAGTGTGTCCTGAATGTTTCCCGTGTCTCATCTCACTACTCGGACACTGTACTTCCTGGAGGAGGGCAGGACCAGTCCTGGAGGTGGTGCGGCATGGCACAGCACAGTAGCACAGGTCACCCGGTGCTGCAGGGCTGGCTTGATGGAAGATCCTATTCCTTTTACAGGAGCCAGAAAACCTCTTTTTGTACCTGTTCACAACTAATTTTCTTACTGACTATATCGGATTGTCTCTTCTTGCAGAGACTGACTTTGGCCAACATGTGGCAGTTGATATTAATGCATGTTTTATGCAAAACAAAAAAAGATAGTTGCTTTTAAGGAATCTGGCATTGTATGTGCATTTTTGTAGAAATTGTTACTGGACTTACGATTACATGCTTAACTCCAATCAGGTTTCTGTAAAATTTAAATAAAACCATTCAGAATAGTTGCTTTTCAGGTTGTTTTCAGTCTCCCTCAAGCTCCCACAGCCTCCCTGTGCAGTAGCTGGCAGAGCAGGTGTATAACCCGAGCACTCCCATGACGTGCCGTGTCTGTCCTGGGTGCTGCTCTCAACAGAGGGGTCAGGCCATGATGTCTGCTGGTTTGCGACTCTTCTGCTGTCCTCGCAAATGGGTCCCAGCAGAGCTCCTTCACACTAGGCCCCCCACCCCATACCCTACCCTCCACTGCTGGGAAGCGCTCCACTGTGGCCAGGGGCTACGCTTCCTATTGGGATCTGAACAGCAGAGCAAAGCCGATCACAGTGTTCTGGGTCTGCTGTGAGTACAAAGAGAGGGGAGGACACACACGTGAGCTGTCCTTTGGCCTCCCACCTGTGGCCTCACTACCCTCTTGCGTCCTTACAGGTTTGTCAAGCTTCAGTTGACATTTCTGCCGAATTAAACGTAGGTGCATGAAATGCCCCTGAGCCTGGACTGCTCACATAGCCAGACACTCCAGACGTGTACTCTCAACGCCAGGAGCCTTGCAGTGCACCCAGCTCCCTAAAAGGTGGCTAGTGAAGCAGAAGGAAATTGAAAGCCATCCAAGTGAGCACAGCACCAGGAAGCTGGCCTGGCAGACAGAGGCGCCACTAAGGCTGCCAGTTGGGCCACCTTGAAGCTGCTGCAAGAGGCAGGCTTTGGTTTGAGGGGGAACCCAGAAGGGCACCGACCCTACTGGCACCTTACTGCCCTGAACCTGTGGGTATTTGCTTGGTGTCTGTTCTCACCTTTCAGCCACAGGATTTCCGGGTAGGAAAAGACTTGAAAAGTTATCCAACCTCACCCTGCAAGACCAGAATCTCTCTCTAGATGGTCCTACAGGGGACCTGCACTGGTCTCGGCCACTCGGCTTTCATGCCTCTGCTCTTGTTGGCAGTGCCCCAGTTTCCAGGTGGGGCACTAACCTTCCATTTCCCTGCCGTGTGACTGAGAGACGGATCACGCCCCCTCTCAGCCGAGGGTATAAAGCTTGTAAGCACTAGGAGAGCCAACCTTTGGAGGAAGTCGCGTCCTGGAAGGCCAAGAGAAACCAGATTTAGTGGTTTGGGCAGAGAGTCACTGGATCAAGCCTTGCCTGAAGCTCATGCAAACTATGGACTTGTCCAGAGCAGAGAATACTTGTACAGTTCCCTAGCTTCTGCTTTTGAACTCTTCTAGTAGCAGAGTACTCATGACCTCACACAGCACTTTCTCAGTTCTCCCAGTCCTTGTCTTTTCCTGTGGAAAAAGGCTAGATGTTTTTTTTGGGACTTCTCCATTGGCTTTCCATCCAGAGATCTGATGTGGCTGTCTCCCAGTGTTGTGTCTGGGAGGTGTAGGGGGTGGGGGCTCCTTCTGGAGTGGGGAGGGTTCTAGCACCAGCCTGCACTCTGCCCCAACTGCCCTACTTGGAGACACCCTGGTCTTTCCTTTTCCTCCTCCAACAGGCCCAGGGCTCTTGCTACTCTGTTCCCTCTCCCTCAGGAGCCAGCCTCCTGGGTTCCCTCACGTATCTCTGCCTTGGACCTCACGGCTCCTAGATCCCATGGACTAGCAGTTCCATGAGCCAAGCTGGGAAGGTTTAGAACCTACTCCTTGTTTGGGTCTCCTTCCACCTCAAGCACTGTTTGTAGGGTAAGGCGGGCCCTGAGACTGGGATGAGCAGTGGCCTGTACTTTTTTTTTTTTTTTTTTAATTGTCAGAGGCTACCTGTGCTCACAGGGAGAGGAAGAAAACACTTCCAAATAGGGCATAGTCACACCACAATCCTCCGCCCTCCTCTCTTGTCGGGATTTTGGGTACACACGTCAACGTGCCTGTGTTTTTCCTCCTTATAGGCTGTTCAACCTTGCAGTTGTCACGCCTGGTGAATCAGACGTAGGCACATGAAGTGCCCCTGAGCCTAGACTGCTTACGTAGCCGAACACTCCAGGCATGTAATCCCAATGCCAGGAAACCTGCAGTGTCCCCAGGCTGGAACCACACCACCTGCCACGTGGAATCTGACTCCCTTAACAACTAGGCCACAGGGCCAGTCCTACTCTGCATAGTCTTGCATCCTTTCTTACCCTGGGTGCAACTCAGATGGTGCCCACTGAGGTTTACTGTGGTGGGGTGCCCATCTCAGCTCCCCTCCTCTCCCTGGAAAGCTCACCTTGGCTCTTGGTCTTCTGTTTTAAAATTACTTAAGACTTACATGACAGAACTGGACCCTCGTCCAGCAGCCTCACTGCCAGGAAGGGGTTTTGTTACTGTCCAAGGAACATGACTCCAGCTCAGCCTTCTGGTAGGCAGTGCTGGGGACAGGAGGTGGCATAAGGAGGTGGGCTGGGGGAGGTGGGCCAGAGGAGGGCAGCACCTGCCTCTGTCTGGAAGCAGCTCAGAACAGGCAGGGCAGGGGATACAGGTGATGGCAGCAGGGCAAGGTGGGGCAGGGAAGTAGAAGCAAGATGTCACTGTCCCCATCTGTCTTAACCTGTGGGAAAAGAGAGCCCCAGCCTCCCTAGGGAATGGGAGGATGTCAGGGGGCACCCAAATATTGAGGAGTGTCTTAACCTGAGAATGGGAGGAAGACTGATGCTCACCATGGTGAGCCAGTGGTGCAGGAGTAATGTAGTGCTCGGTGATGCTGGACCCAGTAAGAAAGTCCTGGGTTCACATCCCAAGGTCTCCCTGTGCATGCCAGGTGTGTGCGCCAGTGACTAGGACTGGCTGAGACTAGGGAGGATCAGTGTGGAGACCCTGTCATGGGTTCTTGCCCTGTCTCTCTCTCACAGAAGAAATAAGCAAATGTAAACACCTTTAGCTCAGGGTGACTTGCTCCACAGAGATTAGAGTCTGCAGTCAGCTCAGTCAGCTCAGGCTATCTCCATCTTGAAGATGAGGCTCTGCTCTGGGTGCCCCACCAGTACA